TGGGTGGCTGGGTGGCTGGGTGGGCGAGCGGCTGTTCCACATCCAATTCCACGTGCGGGTGGTCGCGGCCAGTCAGTGCACCCTTATCCGGGTGGGTCTGTGTCAAGTATACTGCAGGCAATGACATCTTGAACTCGTTCTCCTACGTATTAGCTTGTCTCCCGGAATGCGGCCTTTGTCAGAACATGTCAGGACCGGAGGCGATCGTTGCGCTAAACCAAGAAAGCTTGTGCTTAGATTTGGATGGGATGCCGCGGGATAAAAGCCTTGCGGCAACTCACCAACTTCCTGCGATACTGTTCTTAGCATGAAATTACTGTTCCACGAGCCCTCCAGCCATTTCCCGCCATGTGAACACACGACCCCATTCGAGCGAAGTCCAACCATCAGTCTGGCCAGTGCCAGTAAGGTGGCTGAGTTCTTGAGGCCCTCGAGTACCCCAAATAAAACATCTGTGAAATCGTGGAACCTTTTCCTCTGCTCAGCTTCGCCGGGGCCGTCTGCACTCTTTGCAGTTTACAGACCACACGGGAGGCAAGTCTCGGCCGGCTCTCACATGAGACTGTCTCCAGGTCAGGGTCCATCTTGAAGCTGCCTTCGCCTGTGGCACAGAAAAATAGCAGAAAGAACGCAGGGACCCCAAAACCGCACAGAAACATACTGCACAGAAACATAACTCTCAGGTTGGGAGGCGGCATCATTCCCGCTGCTGCAGGCCCCTAGGCCCTAGGCCCCTAGGCAGACTCAGGCCTTCGGGTTGCAACCGTCGCTGCTCGTAAACGGCCTGTGGCTCGCACACAGCAAGCGCCCGTAGCACATCCGCGGTTCCCTAAAGTTGGATTCCCGTAAAGACAACAATTCAATTCACATGACGCAGATTGTCCTCATGAGAAGGATCCTACAAAGGCCCATCATGTCTCAGCCGAGCGGCCACTGAACCTCTCGGTCTTCAGGGTGTGCATGCGGCGCGCCGCCAGCGTTTAAAGCGACACCGTGCCCTGCAGAGCAAGGGCAAACCGCAACTTTCTCGCTAAGCCCCAAATCGAGCCTCCTCGGCCAAATAACTGAGCTTTTCTTGAAGCCTGCAGATTTAGCAGCTTGAGAGGGTTTCTCTTCAAAGGGCAGGGAACTTGCCTGAAGAAGGCCGGTGTGAAATCGCCTTGGAGTTCGTCTCCAAATTCGTATAGTCTGGCCACTACTTTGTCAGCTCTTTGCAAACGAGAGACCTTCTCCTTGACGACTCTGCGCTGGCGGAGCGGACACCGGCGCGGATGCCGGCGGTGTCCCAGACCAGGACGTACGACCATGGCACGGACCATGCACCCGTGCGGTGGCCATTGGCGCTCCAGGCACATGCGGTGCAACTCCAGGCGTTCCGGGTGCATGTGCAGGTGCAGGTCGTCGCCAGCGCCGGCGGCTGTCGGCGCGCAGGGCCTGGATGCAGGCTGCCCCCCCGTGCCCGCTCCCCCAAGCTTCGCGTTCCCAACCTCTCCCACTGCGCGAGCCGGAGGCCTGCAAGGCGGCAGGGACAAACATGCAGACGACCCAAAGGAGACTCAGCAGGCTCCTGTCTGATGTCAGCTCGGGAGCTCGAAGTGCTCGGCCCATGGACCTCGCGAGATCTCGTGCCGAGACACGCGGCCACCGATTCTCTCTAGAGGGGAGTCCGAGGCAAGCGCCCGCGACCTACAGAAGATGGCCGTGGGACCTCAACACAAGAATGTGTGGTCGGAAAAGCATCTGTGCCGCCGCGTTGCCATTTAGCGACGAACAAAAACTTGCATACCGGCTGAGCTGGCAGCAGCGACAGCATAACTTGGGGTAGTGATGGTAGTGATGACAGCGATACTGCTTTGCCTTCAACAGCGGTCGTTGTCCCCCGTGCATGCACTCCGCCCTTAAACTTGATATGCGCAGCAGTGCCTCTCCGGAGGCATTTGTGACTGCACGGCTTGTCCAAGGTAGCCCGGAAGAGTGCGCTGTCGCACCATGGGAGACGATTGAATGTCTGAGGCTGCCTGGGAGCACGCTCGAATGCCGCTGACGGCGCGCACAACATCATCTGTGTGCTACATAATGTTACGTTCACCCCGAGGAGCATGAGCAAGAGGCGAATGGTATAGCTGGTCCTGCAATGCAAGGATATGGCATTCGAAAGCACAAGTTGCTACTATTCCAGGAACTTTTGACTGATCAATTTCTATGTGGGCTGTACTAATCTGCGACATGGACAGGCTATCCGCCTCAACGCGGCATGATACGTAAGCGATTCAAAGCTACTGCAGCCACAGGGGCCCGAGGTGAAGCTTCCAGGCCAGTGGGTGACGCCACTTCAGGGGCCTGCAGCTCGGATTCTTGCGACGAACTTGCGATGGGTAGGCGCCACAATAGCAGTCTCATGTGTTTCATGCTGGGGATGGCCGAGATCTTCCATGCTGCAGTCCATCAATCTACAGGGATTCTCAGTTTTAGCTTTGCATGAGTCTGTCGTCGTAAAATCGGCGTGGCTTTAGGGCTTAGGCTGTGCATCAAGTTGGAGTCTTGTTTCTACCCCCATTGAAGGATGCTGTACCGAAGCGAGGCTGCATCCAGGTCTGGGTGAGCTCACAGCATATGGGGGCTTCCGAAAATAGGGGACCCTAATATAGTACCCCAAATAGTAGTAGAAGGACCCCAGAATAAGGCACCCCCTATTTTCGGAAATTCTCATATAGAAGCACTCTGGAGCTTCCGTTCTGCGTAGTGCTAAGAACCAAGCCGCAAGAGCATGGGGCGATCGGGGCGATGCCACGTGAGAAGCCTGAAGTTGACGGCGACTAGGCGCACAAACAAGAAAGGTCAAAGATGAGGGGCCCGGGCAGCGTCGGCTTGCTTCGGAAAAGCCTCCAGTTCAACCTGCATGACCCAGAACCTCTAGCAATTAGCACATAGCCTTGTTGTGCTGGTCCTCTCGTGCTGCTCCATCCGTAGCTGCAGCAGGCGCAGCTGCAGGCGCTGCCGCAGACGCTGCAGCAGGCGCTGCGGATGTCACTTCGCGCGAAATTGGCAGTATCCGCTCCTGTAGAGCTGAACCCTCATCTTCGAAGTTATCGAACTCACCGCATCACTTATGACTTCCCTGCTGCAATCAGCTGCTCCTGCGACCGTGCCGAAACACGAATGAAGCGCGGCGTTTGCTTGCGCACCGCAACTTCCACAGGCCGAGACACCTTCGCACAGGCGTGCATGACAAGCATCTGCACAATCCACACCATGGCTCCTCATGCCGCTGTCATTTTGAAACCGATACCGAAACATCTCAAAAGCCACATCCCCAAGACCGCGCAGGGGCCATCTCGGGGGCATTCGTGGCTTTCAGGAGTCGGACCTTTGGAGCCGGTGCCACTGGGATGAAGCCACTGGGCAAGCCAGGCGCATAGGCGATCACGCTTGTGGCCCCTGGCAAGTCTGGCTCTTCCGGCATGCAAGTGGACAGTAGCTTCTGTAACGTGCGTTCACGCTGTGTCAAAAAGCACCTGGGTCAAAAAACACGGTTCCTCCCTTTCCCTGCCTGCTGGCATTCGTGGGGTGAGCCGCGGGGAAACGAGCACTTGTCGGGGCGTGTAGATGGCACCCATGGTGGCACCAAGAGGTCCCCCAAAACGAACGTCACCTGTACCAAGCGACTTGCTGCAGTTCATCCATATGGGAGTTTCCGAAAATAAGGGGTACCTTATTTTGGTGTCCTTCTAATAAGGATCCTACGATTTAGGGTACTATACTAGGGTCCCCTATTTTCGGAAACCCCCAATTTCTGGCATACCCTTCTCAGAGAGATCTCCCAGCCTGGGCTCTTGCGTGGGGAGGTCAGCACATGCCTTGGAGGGTATCCCGTGGAGCCAAGAGGTCCTCCCAGAAGGTGGCCCTCGCCTGCCAAAGCTGCTGCTCTCCAGGTTCCCAGAGGCTCCAAAACCCCTATTAATTCAGGAATATACCATAAAAACACTTAGTTAAGGAATATACAATAAAAACACTTTAGGGATCCCTATTATGATTTAAGGTATATTCCTTAATTAAGGGGTTTTGGAGTCTCTGGGTTGACAACTGGGACCACAACCGTGCGGCCTCTTCGAGACAAAGGCGGGGTGGCCCCATGTGGCAAATCCGCAAATGGCCTCAAAACGAAACCGAATGCCAAGTTGACGACACTCGGGACCCACTAGTAGCACTGCTATGAATGCAGCCGGACTCAAAACGACATGTCCACAGCGCGAAACCGAAATCTCGTCCGTTCTGGGCCTCGCCAAGGATGGGGACGAGCTGCTGCTCATGGCTCCATCTGCAAACAATTAGTTCTGTGCCAACAATTGCTGGTAACTTATGCGCACAAGGGTCCGACGGTCTGACTTCTCCGTGTTGATGTGTGCAAAAACATGGTGTGTGCATCGCGGCAGCGTCATGGCGCTACGGTTCAAAGCAAAGTTCAAGTCCACTGCGGCAACTTTCCGTGTCTGCAAACTTCAACCGCACTGCGGGTTTGAACCTGACAAGCCTGGTCGAGTGTCAACACGAGCAGGGGGACGGCTGTGCAGATGCGTGGGCCGTGTGACCAGTCGACTTGCCCGAATGTTCGCAGCTTTTGGTTGTTCGATCGCCTTTGGCGAGACGGCGAAGACCGTCGCTGTCATAAGTTGCACAATCCGGCTGGAACTAAGGCTGACGCGATACAAGCGGGGAATAGTAAGGACAAGAGGATGTGGATCGAACACCAGGTCTGTGGCAGACTTAGACCCTCCAACGAATGCTCCAGAAGGCTTGAAATCGACCGGAACACCACCGCTTCAAGGCCAGTCGCAGCCCTGGTGTTGAACAAGTGGCGAGGTGCCTACGTGCCTTGCCGGTATCAAAGCAAGAGGCACCTCATCACAGGCTAAGACAGTAAGCACGGCCCATGCTCATCTGGACTCCGAAAGACATGGGTACTGTCAGGGCTCCCACACAGAAAACTTGCTAAACCTTCCAGATACATGGCACGGTCTACAACGCTGTACAGCCACTCACGAAGTGATAGGGGATGACGCTGTTCGCCTGCACTGGCGCCTCGCAAACAAAGCATTGGGCTAAGCATCCTTGAGTGAGTGGACTTGGGAAGTGGTCAGGGTCCTATGGGCACTGACATCTGCAGGCTTAACAACTCGAAGCTTACAAGGTTGCTCTCGAAGCAGTAACCCATGCGGGCACAGTCAGAGGGCCCTGATGCAGCGCAGCCTCTGACACCGGCGACGGAAGTGTCTCCCACCCTTCCATGGTAGCTGCAGCAGACGTTGCCGGTCCAAAAGTGAGGCGAGTTCTCTGGGAACGGGACGGAGACTTCGCAAGTCCAGGCGAGCGGCGCTGTCTTCGTGCCAGCGCTCGCGGTTCCAACCACCTGGCACTTGCCAACTCGGATTGGGAAGTTCAGGCCACACAAAGCGGGCAGGGTTCACCGTAGATGTACAACTTGCCTCAGGCACAGAGCCGTGGAAGAACAGGGTTAAAAAAAAACTGAACTTGCCCATCTCAGCAGAAGCGGCGATCGATGCCAAAGCTTGCCGCAAAGCACCGCCGCCGCCCAGGCATGCAAGGAGCCTTCACCAAGAAGACTTTTGACCCACGCCTCCCTGAACATCTCTGAGCCTATTTAGCTTGGGTGCCTGTGCACCTAGAGGCAATCTTTGCTCAAGCGCGTGCTTGTCGTCTCTTCGGGTTCTTCAGATTTTTGGTGCATTGGAGGTGCCCACCTTTTTGCGTGTGCGTCTGTGGGGGGGTGTGTTGCTTGAGGTTCTCGGCTGGAGCCTGACACCAGCGACCTTCGCGAGGATCAAGGCATTCCACGGTGTCCTTCACTCTCCAGCTGCTTTCGTGCGCACTACTGCTTCACTTACGTTTGAGGCTCGTGCAAGGCTTGCAGACTCGTCACAGCCACCCCCCAGGACCCAGACCTCGAGCTCGGCCACAGGCAGCGACTGTCGTGCGCTTTCACTCCCGAAGGATCCGCTCCCCCACCCGCTGAGGCTCCCGGCACGGCCGTCGGGGCCGAAGCAGGCGGCGCAGCCCGCACGCGCCTTCTTTCTCCCCCCAGAGGACACGAGAAGAGTCTCCCCTGCGGCTGTGCGTGCCCCGCCTGTGACAGCGCGGGACCGGCGAACCACCCGCGCAGCAGGCCCTCGGAGCTAGCATCTGCCCACTCCACGGACTCCTCGGGAACAGCTTAATGGCAGAATGTTCCTGCAACTCAGGCTATCCAGCACGTCCTCGTAGCAGTCATTGCCTGCATAGCCGCTGATCGCGTACACGTGCCCGGCAGAGGAAACCTAAGTCTCCAGCTCCGGGAATCTTAACCGAAAACTGATCCCTGAGCATTTATGCCCGAGTCACGCAAACCCCGGCCGCACAGCGAGGCCTCTCCAAGCCAAGGCTGCCCCAACCCACATAACATCAAATGCAATGAGAAGCAGAAGCAGAAGGCGCGGGCCTCTGCAAAGTCGGACCATATTGCCACTGGGCGGCAGGCGCGAGATGACAGAAGAGTCCACAACTCAGCACTTCTTTGGGCTTAGGGTACCATCCGCAGGCAGGGCCTTCGTCGCAGCCGTGCGAAGCACCTCGACACTGCGAAAAGCCTGCACGAGGAGCAAGTCTCAGACCACTTTCCATGTATGTGTTCTGGCTTGTTTAGCAGACTCGCACGGATACCGCCTCTGCTGCAGTGAACATGCTGCTTCCACCACCCACGGCAAGCACCGCCTGCAAACAGTCACTCAGATAAATGCAACTCTCTGCGAATCACGACCCACGACGCGTGCGACTTTCCGGTCAGATGAAAACTTTGCAGTACTAACCCTTGGAAGATCACATGAAGAGCCTCGGATGCTGCAGCAAGACCCGGGCAAGCCTGGCCAGCACGGATGAATCGCTGGGCAGTCGGCAGAACTCATTGGCCGTCCGGGGCTGGCACCCTGGCGTGCTGCAAGGAAGGGCATGCCTCATTCAAAGCGGCACATCACACGAAGCGTTCTCGCAAGCCGTCGTGGCTTGCACTCTTCCAGGCCTGCACCGCTGGATGTTCGGCCAGCAGGTCGGCAATATCGATGGCCTGGCCGAGATTGCAAAAGCAAGGCATGCGGCCACAGTCAACAGCACTTGGGAAAACCATGAACAACTGAACAACAAGGGCTCGAGACTGATTGAGAGATTCGACCCGAGTGTGCACCACCTCTGTGTCTGTCACCATTTTTGGTACATTCACAATCGCCACTGATCGCCACTTCTGTCAATATCATAGTCACGCTTGGCTTCAGCAGCAGCACCACCACCACCGCCACCAACAACACCACTTCCTCCAGCAAGTATCATCTTCGTGTCTTCACTTTGTCGTTGCTGCTGCTTTGTCATGTGTAGTTTCCGAACTCCTCCCCTCTGGACCTCGCAGGACGCCAGAGACTCTTCTTGAGAGAAGTCGAAGCCGCCCGCAACCAGGAGCTGGCCTTCACAATTTCGGGTCTGACCGGTCCAGAAGCTTAGAGGCTTAGAGGCTTAAAACTTCGAGTGTAAAGGTTGAGGGTCCTGGGTTTAGTGGCTTAGGCTGTGTGCAGTGTGTCGACGCTCGCATTCGCATTCTGCAAGCAAGGTTCTTACGTGCAGAGCCCTTCAGGAGGGCCCGACCATCGCCGAGCCTCCTGAGAACTGAAGATCCGAAAAGACATTTTAATCGACCGTTAAATCCTGGCCTGCAAGTGCATAAAACCAACAATTACGAACCTTTTCTGAGGCAAGACTGTTTTTGTTGCTGCCAACCCCCCATAAGGACAGCACCAACGTAGAGCCTTATGTAAAGCTAAACGTACACATGAAACCCTACTACGCACACCCCTTACTTCGTTTCCTTGCGACTGCAGGCACCTGCTCCAGCCCCTCCTTTGCAGCAAATTCCCGCGGCACAGCGGCCTCGACGAAGCTTTGCAAGCTTTGGGGCGACTAGGACTCAACCGTCGAGGATGGCTTTTAGAGTTAGCCGGGTTCTGGGAAGTTCTGATGTGCCTATCCATGAGTTTTGGGCTCCGGGCTTCGGGCTTCGACTCTCGCACTCGGCACTGCTCAGACTAGCCTTCGCAATGACCTAAACCCTAAACCCTAAACCCTAAACCCTGAACCCTAAACCGAATCAAGAGATCACCAATGGACCAATGGACTCCACACTCCAAACGATGGCAACAAACGAGTCAGCCACTGGCGGCAAACGACTACAGAAACAACCAACACCCCCAAACCCTAAACCCCATAATAATAATCAGAAAAAAAACGCAATAATACTACCAGTATTATTAATAATAGTAGTAATACTACACCCCATAAGCCCCGAGGCCCCTAAGTCCCTAAGCGCCAAGCTTGCCATGGGTAGGCGGCTGTAGGACCGCCAGCGCGGAGCCTGGCTCGGGGAGCTTGTGAAGACCTTCGGCACTGAAAATGTGAGGCTCTGCAGTCTGACTGAAAGCCTTGCAGTTATAATATATATAATATAAAATATATAATATATAACATATAATAGTTACTACATATAATATATAGAGTATATATAATATAATATAATATAATATAATATAATATATATATATATATATTTATATATATATATATATGTGTGTATATATAATATATATAACAGTGATCTAGTCTCGGGAGGGTCCTCCTCAAACTGCACACGCATGCAACTCTTCTCGACAAGTCCTTTTCCGATGGCCGCAGAATGAGTCATTACGCAACAACCGTCCGAGATGCCTGTCAGCTCGGTATTCGGAACTAGAAACACCATAACAAGCTACTCCTCAGTGAAATCGCCCCCCCTTCCGATACACTAATAGTCATCACTTGCAAGGCACAGTACAAGCGCCGAAAGCAGTGCTGATGCTCACATGAGATGGTTCTCTGCATGCGAGCGCTCTGCCTAAGTCGTGGCTTGAGCTTGATACTCACAGCCCAGCAGCAATTGTACTCACCAGAAGTTCGTCGAGATTGGCCACACAACGGCATCACTTCTTCTCGAAGCTCACGAACATCCGGGGACGTCGACCGGTCAACAAGGAAGAGGAGTCGAACTGATCCATGTGCCCATCATGGTGCGTGGCGCTTGCATCTGCCACTGAGGAGCTCGAGATGTCCGGGAAGAAGTGCTCGGTCGCATGCGTGGCTGCGGTCTCCGGGAAGAAGGCAGCAAAGCTCGTAGCACAGGCGTGATGGGTGTCGGTGCAAGTCGCATTGTCATGACCGGTCAGGCTTGCCAACAGACCACTCAGGGGACCGGCTACAGCCTGAGACAACACCAGGGCGAAGACAAAGCCACGGAACATTGTGATGACACGAGTGGGCAGTATTTGCTCAAGAATGCTCGCTTGGCGCCTCAATGTGCTGCGGTTGCAGAATGGTGCAGATCCCTCTCGCATGCATGAGACCAGTCGTCAAGGTTGCATCGGCGCTTCCCGGGCAACATAGGCCATAGGCAACGCACATGCATAGTTTCTTAGTGGCGGTCCTTCACGAAGCTCAATTTAAAGACAGCTCCATGTCACTACCTAGCAAACGGAGGCACTCTCATGTTTCAAGAGTGCCTTGGGAGTCTCATGGACATGAAATCGAAAGCCCCGTCCAAAGAGACCAAGAGATGGCATGGGCCGGAAGAAGCTCAGGGAAGGGTACCTTATTTTGGGGTCCTTATAATAAGGATCCTACGATTTAGGGTGCTACATTAGACAAACCAACTCGACGAGCGCTTGAAGTTTACGCCGGATAGGTTTGAAACAGTGCTGAAACTTCGCCACACAGCCCTTGCCAGTCAAACCGTCCCAGCTCTGGTCGTAGCACTGGGTCTACTTATAAAGACTTCCGAAAGCGGCATTTCGCCAGCTTGCGGACTATATCGTCGCTAATCGGAGTTGTCGCACTTGATCTCCAGCACTCGCCGACTGTCGATGGAAAGGCAACGGATCGTCCAGGTTGACCTGCGTCCACACGCCTGAGGTAGCATGCAATCATATGCAATCCAACATTCCCCGGGCCAGAGCTGTCTTGCAGGAAGCTTTGCAGCGGGCCTGTCGCTAGGAGGTTGGTGACGAGCTCTTCCGGCAGAACGCGGTCATCCTTCACCGGAACCATCCGCAGGACGTCCTGCGAGCCGAGCGGATCCCGGTGGGGACGGAGGGCTTTCCGGAAGCCCACGGTCGCTCCTCGGCAAAGGCCACCTCTGGATCCGCGTCGTCCGAGGGCAGCGCCCATTGGCTGCGAAGGCAAGAGGGGCACTGACGGCCTGCGGCAAGAGGCCAGCTGAGGGAGATGCCGTTTCTTGTTTAAGCCCGGCTCTCCTCTCCCAGAAACTGAAGCAAAACTGCGAGCCTTTGAGCGGTCCGCACTGCCGTGTTGGTGTGTTCCCTCAGTTCTCTGAGACATAGAGAACTCACACAAGTCCCTCGACGGTCGTATAAGTGCCCAGTAGCAGCTAGGGCAGCAGAAGGACTCCTCCTCTTCCACCGCACAGTCGCCTGGGAGGCGGTTGATCTTCGAGGGGCGTTTCTTTGCACTTCTTGTCCTTGTGGCCAACGTTTTGGTTTTTTCTTTCCGCCAAGTTGCGACCACAGTAGAGCATGTGAGATCCGGAACGCATACCTCGGGCTACCTGCCATGAAACCGCGACTGCCGTACAGAGCTTCGTTCCAAATCCCACAGATCATCTGCCTCTGCACCCTCATCGTTGTGAGAAGGCAGAGGCTTCCTGGGGAGTTGGCTCCGCTTGTGCCTCATTTGCGGCAATCAAGATCAATCAAGGGGAACAGCCGATGCCGCAGATGAAGCCCAGCGGCAAATACTTTTGCCAGACTCGCGGTGGGACCGTCGAGCAGACAGGTCGAACCAGCCAGCCGTGCTGCAACTGAGCAGCCTCCCGTGGGATTTAGCAAGGCAGTTCAAACCAAAACGGTTCCAAAAAGATCCAAGCCCGCGGCGAGTCGCCGGCGACGGTTTCTCCTGCCGTACCTCCAAGGCCACGGCGAACGGCTCGTTTGAACACGTACCCGTATTTGCCACCGGCCGTTTGTCGACGGATGGAACCCGAAGCTGTCATGTTTGCTTGCCTCGACGGCTTCAGATGCGCGTGACCTTACGAGCTGCGTTGAGCCCCTTCCACTGTTAGAACGGCCCGGCACCGTCCACCAATTGAAACTGGCTTCCAAGTGGCGGAAAAAAGCCCGCACTGCGGTCGTTGGGCTCCAGCGCGTCTCGGGAGCTGACATGACTTCGGAGATTGACTGGGCCAGCAGCGACCTGCACTTCGTCGAAAACTCTCGATGCTGTCTGCCATGATCTCGAGAATCAATGTTAAAACCCTCTAAACTCTGAACTCCAAAGAAGAGCCTCTGAGCAGAAACGCTCTCAGGCCTCTCCAGCGTCACCTCGTTAAAGGGCGAGAGCAAGATCCTCAGTGACTGGCACGGGGGAGCTCAGGAACTGAACTGTTCCCTGGCAGAAAGAGATGCAGTGTACTACACTGCTATAGGGTTGAAGGTTTAAGGTTTAGGGTTTAGGGTCTAAGGTTTAGGGTTTAGACGGTTTAGGGTTTCAGTTTAGCTAGTTGGTTGACTGTCTGCAAGCTCAGGCGCTGCACAATCAAGGGCTCGCCGGAATGACTGTTTCTCAACAAAACCTCGGGCTCACGACCAGAAGACCCAGGATGCGATCTCAACTACGACCATGCATCCATCCGACTGTTGCTCTTGCGACGCCAGGCTACCCCTCCACGCACTCTGCGGACCATGCAGACGTCCCTGGTGTTCGGATGAACAACGACCCCGATCTGGGAGAGAAAGATCCTCCGGCCAGGAGCGCCCCGGACCCTGACGCCCAGCTGCCTCCACCCCTCTCTGCAGCTAGGACTCGTCGGCATATTCGATGCACTTTGCAGCACTTCAAATCTAAGTCGCACGGTCGGATTGCTTCGAATCAAGAAGAGAGGGAGACAGAAGGAACTCCGACTCTGGAGACGTCCCACTAAGCACTCACGAGATCGCAGCCCGAGCAAGCTGCATCCAAGCTGCATGAAAACGTCCACTCGAAAGTCAAGCTCCACCACGGAGATCGGGCCCCCCTGGTCCTCCGTGCTGTAGAAGCACATCTTCGGAACTGGGTTTCTAAATAATCGCTTCCCCCCTTTATTAAACACGCCCACAATGATAAAACACTTTGGGGCCCAAAAGTCCCGAAATCATCCCTGCCCTGCAAGCCCTAATTTGCATTAGGGGAGTCCGGAACAAGAGCAGGAGCAAGAGCAATAGCAAGAGCAGCACTGAGAGCAAGAGCAAAAGCAAGAGCAAGAGCAGTAAGAGCAAGAGCAGTAAGAGCAAGAGCAGAAGCAAGAGCAAAAGCAAGAGGAGGAGTAAGAGCAAGAGGAAAAGCAAGAACAAAATCAAGAGCAAGAGCAGGAGTAAAAGCAAGAGGGCAAAAGCAAGAACAAAGGCAAGAGCAAGAGCAGGAGCAAGCGCAGGAGCGAGAGCAAGAGACGCAGCAGCAACAGCCAGTGCGGGAGCAGGAGCAAGAGCAGGAGCAAGAGCAAGATCCCTCGAAAGTGGACGCGGGGCCCCACCCCCCGTTCGATGTTATGGAAGGGATTAGTGAGGTGATTCTTGCCATGCTGAAACACCCACGTAGGTGCCTCAGAGACCCGATGTCCCTTGGGCCCTGCCTTTCCGTTCGCTGGGACTTTGGCAAACAGAACAGGAAACTGGTAGACCTCGCGACAGGTCAAGAGTCTGGGAAGCCGAGACATCCTACAGCGCCGACATCAAACCGCCCTGGCATGGAGTCGTGAAAGAGAAATGGATACGAAGTGCATGTGGTTTGTTCCTGGTCCATCACGACATACGACTTCCCTGACGGACGTCTTCTCTCGTTCAGAACAGTTCGGCCTCAATCGCCTTCGTCACGAGGCCACAATGGCCCCAAACCTCAAGCGGCTCTCACTGCAACAGCCGGCTGCATCGGACCCTCCTGATCCCACATGTCAGAAAGGGCTAACAGCTCTGTCTGAGCACCAGGCATTGCCACCCAAAATGTTCACAACATCCTCAGCATGGATCGACTTTTTGCAAGTCACTAAGTTTGTCTCCCTTCAGCCAAGTTTCGCCTGGCAGCAGGATCCTGGTCAGATCTCTCCACTTGGGAGGGTTGCCTGGCTTCACATCAGCGCCACCTCGGGAGTGGCCCCCAAGTGATAGGATGAGAACTATGCAGAGGGTTTAGGGTTTAGGGTTTAGGGTTTAGGGTGAGAAACCCCGCCAAAGGTGAGAAACCCTGCCCATCTCGTTCAGCGCATACTGACACGGCCACGTCCAACTGGGCCAGCGGCTGACGTCAAAGTGAGCGGTTGCTTCTGGTATCGCCAGCGCATTCTGGCCCGCAGAGCCGTCCACGTCCACTTCTGCCAGGGAATCTTGTATCACGCGCATTTACTGCCGCAACCTTATGCTGTTTGGCCTAAAAAACCGAATTTCTAGCGTCCGAGCAGATGTTGTCCCCAACCGTCACCTTCCAGCACCAATGCCTCATCATCGCTCACGGAGCTCACGTCGCTAGAGTCAGCGCTGGTCTCGCTTTCTGCAGCACTGCCATGGCTGGAGAATGGGAACATGGGGTGGGGTTATGATAAGAAGCGATCCCTCTTTGGGTCCTTATACTAAGGATCCTACTGAGGTTATACTTTTCGGACTTAGATTGTGGCTTTCTGTGGTTGCAAGGGAAGAACTCGAAGCCATGGAAGATGTACGACGAAACCTTTCTGGGCACAGGCATGTGAATCTTCGACCCCAGTAGCACTTGAGTGTCCCGATGTCAGGGAAGCCTGAAAGCACACAAGCATACGCTGCGGACGTTAGGCCATGAAGTCGACACGAGCAAAGCGGCGGACAAGTACCGACAGCAGTAATTATCAGTGGCACTCACAGCGAAACTCACGAAGACTGCTCGGCCTTGGTGTCATCCGCGGACAGCACTGAAAGCACCTGAGGCAAAACGAGCACGAAAATTCTCCCAAATGCCACCAGTCATTGGCAGATCATTCCGATTTCCAAAAGTTCAGACACGAACGCCTGCAATTTTCCTGCATGCGGGTGCACCAAGACATAGCAGGTTGGTGCGGCATGAAAGTCTGGAGAGCGCTTTTGGGAAGTGTCGATCGTGTCGCCTGCGGCACACAGAAGCCTAAAAATCCTCAGAGTGTGCGCCCTTGGCATCTCTTGGGCACGCGGAGACCGGGACTGATGCCGGAGGCAGCTACTCGATGAAAGTTCAAAGCTTGTACGAGTTGGCCCCATTCTCTTCATCGGCGAGAAAGCTCGAGAACAATGCCGAATCGGCAGCCGAGCGAACAGGACAAGGGAAAACCACAATGTGGACGAGCACACAAATCAGAGGTTGTGTGCGTGCCAGCATGAAAACGGTGCGTGGAAGTGTGTGATACGCTGTCTGGGCTCTGGGGCAAACTGCCGAGTCTGGGTCAGCCCTGGGAGGTAGCCAATCTCCAGCGGAACACAAACAGAAGGAAGAGAAATCCATGACCTGCGGATCTTTTAGGTCTCATGCGAGCTCATGCATTAAGTTTCACGTGGAGTGCTGTGAAAGACGGAGAGCAAATTGATACTGTATTCTCGGTTCCGGAAGAGTATTGAGCTCCAGCGTTGTGTCGGGATTTCAATGTGAAGTGTGCTGGCGAGTTCGACAGGCGTCTTGAGTGAGCTTCCGAGGATGTGCAAAGGATGCTGAACAGAAAAAACAAAAAGACAGGAAAATCTACAGAGCCTCACATCAATGCTGTGTTTTCAAGGGACCTGTCTCCCGTAGGCTACGATCCAAAAGTCATTGCAAAGCTTAGGCTGTCCGGAGCTCAGTGTTGCCTCGCCCTGCGAGCTCATTGGGCTGCTCTGAGCTCTGACATCATGGGCCTCCCAACCCTTTGAGCCTCAAACCCTAAAGCCGAAAGCCGAAACTCCTTGAAGCCCGAACGACCCAGAAGAGAACCCCCGGCACTCTCGTGCATGCTAGTGGCCACTCCATCTTCATGTCGTCCCCCGTCATCTCTCCGGACGCATCCGCCAAGCACCTCACCGAGCTGCTATGCTTGCAAGCGTGATATGTTGTAGGCATCAGGGCTTTGCTAGACTTAGGGGTGCCTTGAATGGTATGGAAAGGACCCTTGCTCTTGCTCAAGTCCCTTGCGTTTCTACCGGAGAAGCACTGTTCCTGCACTGTTCCTGGCTTCTGTTGAGGAGGCCACCACGAAGGCAGCACGGCAGCTGCCGACTTTCTCTGAAAGTCTTCGGTGGCTCTGCCTTCCAAGACAGAGAAAGCTTGCGGCTGATGCGAAGCATCTACAAAAATGTTCTAAGGCTTCTGTAAGGGTTCTATAAGGGTTTCTTGGCTTCTCGGGAAGAGCAGCACGCACTCTACGGTGACTCTACAGACTCTACTGCGAAACACCTTGAAGAACTGCAGCTGCACGGTCCATCGGCACAAAGCCATCGCCAGTCACGATGGAACAAGAGCGCCCACAGCTCCTTCATCAGTACAACCAGGCTGCAACATCCGGATGGCTTGCTCCACATTTCAATTGCTACGTCCATGGCATGGAAGGACACGCAAACATGGAGTTACTTGTAGTTCTGCCTCAGCATCTACGGCGGCAAAGTCCACCCAGCACGAGCCTGAGTAAGAACAATCGCAGGCCCAACAAGACTGTCATGAAGCACAACAAGTCCATAACTCATGCTTGGGCTTTAGGTCCTGACCACCACAGGCCAGCACGTCACTGGCATGCAGCAGTCGCAAACAATGCACCTGAAGCCCGCAGGGTGTAAAACGACAGGAGTTCAAAAAGGGACATTCTTCCCTGTGGACCTTCAGTTCTCGTGGGAGTGGAGTCCATGGCATCCGCAAGCAGTGATAGCTTGCACTACTTTGACCCCATGGTGTCCTAGGACAACACCTGACAAAGAAGTCGAACTCAAGGAGTCTGCACGCTGTGATTGACCAACCCTCTGGACCCATCTTCTAAGAAATAGCCATCTTAATACAAAATCGTTCGCGAGTGTATTTAAGCACGTTGATCGGGTCTGCCTTGTTCCTAAACCCCTCCCGACGTGCCTGCGATTGCACCGAGTTACATGCCAGTGATGCGAACTGTAACAACAGATGACCGATATGATTATGATGACGTTGATGATGATGCTGTTGTGGATGACTGACTAGCGTGAGTCTTATCGTGGCTGGCGTTGCTGCTGATCTTCCCAGGGTTATAATTAAGGTGACTATACTTATAACCCCATTACGGGACTTATAACCTTACTTACTAAGTCCCATGTTCTTCGTGGCTTGTCATTGTCATGATCCATGGCCAAGGCGAGGAGCATCTCGCGAAGTGCCACCTTGTGGCTTGATCGTCGGACACCGGCACATTCGCTGAGCCACACTACCAAGTTCCCGTAGAAAACCAACTGCCACATGACCGCTGACAAGCAAAGTAGCAGCCATGGCAGCACTTGGTAATGGACGCACGACCACTCCGAGCACCCCTAAATCACCACCACCACCACAGAACTGCTGCCACAAAACACGGGAGCAAGCTGCAATCTCTGTCACTCCGCGAGTGCACGACGTCAAACACTTCCAGCGCAATGCGCAGCTGATACGTCTGGGGAGCAACCCCACCTCCGCCCCAACACACCTTGTGGATAATTGAATGATAAATATCAGCTTATCGTCAATGCCTTTCTGGCATGCCTTGTAAACTTCACGGAGGCGGGTGCTGTGCATGAACTTGGGCTCAGCAACTGAGCCATGTTGGCATTCTTACCGCACTTAATCTTGCTTGTCAGCCGTGGGGTTCTCTAGCGTCATACGGCAACGCTGCAGTATGAGAAAGGCGCTTAGACTTCGGGTTACACAAAATGCATCGCACATGCCCGCTGCCCAATTTTTCTTTGGGCTCACTCTTGTTCGGCCGTGGGGGCTGACAGCTGCAGTCACTTGCCCTTCCAGCCTTTGCCACCCTTGCCAAAGGGCATGTGGCCGTAGCCCTTTCCGAAGTCTTTGCCTTTTCCCATGTTGCCCATGGGAGCCATACCCATAGGCGCTCCGCCCATGCCTTGCTGATGCTGCATAGGACCCATGCCAATAGGACCAACTGGCATGATTCCCTTGCCGTAGCCTTTGCTGTGGCCCTTCATGCCCATGCCCTTTCCGGAATCCTTTCCGCCCTTATGGTGGGAGGAGACGGCGTGGGTGATTTTCAGCTTCGCTGACTCATCACCCATGTCGACGAGCAGAGCTCTGTGTCTTCGTCCCTCCTCGGCGATCTTCACAAAGACCTGGGGGTATTCGATTTCCTCATCCAGCAACGACTCAAGGACCTTGTCCTTGTTGATGAAGACACAGTCCTTGGCTAAGTCCACCAGCTGTGCTTCGTTTTCAATCCCGTAGCTCTTCAGGTTCAGCTGCTTTCCGTAGTATTTCTGATAGTAGAAGGCCAGGTGTTCCAGGACGATGCCTTTCCTGTCCGGATCGTCACAATCCTTTTTGAATGCATGGGCCATCAAGTGGAGTTCAAAGCTCAGGGACATGAGGGCCCAGTCCTCATGGGCAAACTCCTTGTACAAAGGTGTGCCGCTGCCAATGTCGTCGACCTCCTCCACACCAAAAATGTCGACGCCCTCGAAGTCAACCTCTTCCTCCTCTTCCTCCTCCTCTTCATCGACTTCCATTGGTTCGGCTTTCTCCTCCTCCTCCTTGACTTCCTCGTCTTTCTCCTCTTCCTTGGCCTCTGCCTTCTCGGCCTCCTTCTTTGCCTTTTCTGCAGCCGCCTTTGCCTCTGCCATCTTCTTCTTGTTCTCCTTCGCCTGCTTGGCCTGAGCCTTCTTCACCAGCTTGGACTTGTACTCCGGTACCTTGGCCTGCCAATGCGTGAGGACCTTCTGCCAGGCAGCCGCTTTAGTCTTGAACCACGCGGAGGGGGTAAGGTCTTCCACCCGGCTAGTGAGCTTCTTTTCCTTGATCCATTTGCTCACATACTCGCCGGCTTTGCCACCCTGGCTCCACTCATAGGCGATGTCATCGAAGCCCTCCTCCAGGTCGGGGACCGTGAACTTCGTGAAACATCGGTTCAAGAGGCTCGAGGCCACGTCGGGCAATGCCGTCTTGCGGAACTTCATCTTCTTCTCCTCCGGCGTGAGTTCCACCTTTGGTGGCTCCTCGTCAACCTCCTCAGCCTCTTCTTCCTCCTCTTCCTCCTCCTCGTCCATTTCCACGTCTTTCTCCTCCTCCTCTTCCTCGGGAACCTCTTTTCCTTCGGCCTCTGCCTTTTTTCGCTCGGCTTCCTTCTTGGCCTCCCGCGTTCGAATTGAGCACTAACGATACAGGTGGCAATGCAGGCAGGGGCGAAAGGTGTAACAATCATCTACGACGAGACAACTGCATGAGCATCAAAAAAGAGCAACACATCTGATCCCGGAGCAGACTCAAGTGTCAGCACACCTTCTCAGCGGCTTTCTTCATCTCTTCAAGCTTCTTCTGGCGCTCCTTCTCCGCCTTCTTCTTGGCTTTCTCGATCTCTTTCATCTTCTTCTCGGCTGCCTTCTTCCTAGCCGCCTCCTCCTTCTTCATCTTGAACTCCTTGTCGGACTGCTCCTGCTTCTCAGCCAACATGAGCTCCTGGCTCATCTTCACGAAGTCTTTGGTAGCCTCGCCGACGACGACCTTGGCCACCTTCTTGTAGCAGCTGTCAAAGTAGGTGCTCAAGGCGTCGGCCCTGGTCTCTTTGATGAGGTTCCCACGGACCTGCAGACATGGGAAAACTAGTGACTAGTGGAGATCGGTTGGACCAACGGACACAAGAGTAAGAGGAAGAAGAAGATAAGGAGCAGCAAGAGCTACAGTCACAGTGCGGGCACCCGCTAGCAGCTGGCACCAGGCACCACCGTTAGTAAACCTATGCCAAATAGGACATGTCAATGACTCTGCCGAGTCTTAAACTCATGCAGTTGTAACTGTCGCCAAATAAGTGGTGCGTAGTGACCTGAGCATTCATAAAGCATGTAAGCCGATTGCAGAGGTAATACACGGTACAACACCAGCAACCATCGTCCCCTCCAGATTCATCTTCATCTTTACCTGTCAGCGCCAGCACCGGTAGAAGGAGCATGGCCGCCGGAGTCACCATCACCACAACTACCCTAGATGAACATCGTCAGCTTCAGTCTCAGAAGCTGTTCGAGGGCGGGAGGCCTCCATGACGACGTAGTTTCGCTTCTGGAGCGGGGCGACGGCCTGAATCATCCGCCGAATGCTCATGTCGTCCATCTCGGGGATGCCGAAGCGAAGGTCCGGCTTATCATTGCTGCCCACGCCTTTGGGGGCATAGATCCCACTCTTCTCAGCCCAGTCGAGAAGCATGCGGTCGGAGATCTCCGTGTACTTGGGATTCTTCTTCTTGAAGGAATCTAACCAATCGAAACCGCCTTGGTCCGGCAGACAGATGGGAAAGAGTACTTCATACTCCGTTTCCTTCTCTGCTTCCTGCAGCAAGGCCTGCGTAGTCGTCGCGTTTTGCGGCATGTGGCAAGTGAAGGGCAGGGGAGCCTGAGGTTGTGGGCCGAAGCAAAGGGCAACCGCAAGGTTGCGGTACGTCACTGTGGGATACAGGGGCTTGCCTTGAAGAGCAGAAGGCAATGCCTGTGGCTTCGTAACCCGCTTCCCATCCCTGAAGAGGCTGATGGTGTTCTGGTTCGGAGACCCTTTCTCCAGGTTCAACACCACGGCTACAATGCTGCCCTTGCCGTATCTGGCACCCATACCCAGCGATGTCTTCTCCTTGTTGTGCATCATGAAGCCCTCCATGTCGAAACAAACACTCGTCTCATCGTTGCCCATGAGTGGCGATGAGGCAGCTGTTGAGAAGCCAACGCGAAACACGAACTTGGGGTGCGGCTTGTTACTTTCCTCCGCCCTCGAAACCTGTTCGACGATTTTTGCCTCGAACATGTAGCGGCCGGCCTTCAGCCCAACATTGCATCTCGCACCTGCCAAAAGGTGCCTGACTCCGCCGTCAGACAAAGGCAAAAGTAAGGAGCTGTTGGATGACAGGACGACATTCAAGGTGGTGTCCTGCGTGAGGAATGTGATCTTGTCCTTCAACTTGGCCCCTTTCAAGGCCACGGCATCTTTCTCCACCTCCTCCTCGGGTTCCTCTTTCTTCTCCTCTTCTGCCGCTCCTTCTTCGGTCTTTTGCTTCTTAGCCGCAGGCTCTGCCATGAGCGCAGTGTTCTTGGATGCGGCTACGGCCCGTGTTCTCTACAGGCAGTCTAGGGTTTTTGTTGCACCAGGTGACACGGCAAGCGCGCAGGGATGTCAGCATTTCAAATTTCGCGATTGACATGCAATGACATGCAAGTCTGCTAGAAGGCTCAACGCGCAAGATCAACACCGTCACAGCAACCTCTCAGCGGCTTTATCTAACGAGCTTCACGTGCCATGTCGACACGGCACCTACCTGGCCACTACTTCGCGGTATTCAGAAGCAGCACAACCTTGGCAATGAAGCATTGCTGATCTCTTGCAAAACGTACTGCTACTATCCAAAACTGCCCGTTCCGAGACGAAATCAAATGCATTTTTTTAACGACACTGATCAAGTTTGTGAGGCTGATCATGCACGCCAGTCTGTTTCCATTCCGAACCAAGACCGAGGCCAGCACGACTGCTTCAAACACAGACGGCTCTCATCTCGCCTGCAAGACACGACTCAATCGCGCTGTCGAAGATCCGACGAAATGCAATCCAAATCCCTCTCGTGTCTTACAGGTGGCTGCTGGCCCATTGCGACTCCAAGGCTGAAGCTTGCGCTGCTCTCAGTGCTTCCGCCAAAGCCTGCGGATCCTCGGCCGCCAGTGTGAGCCCCATGGCCCCCATGACTTTCTCACGTGCTAGAAGTTTGTAAAGCCTCTGAGCGCAGGGCTGCACCCAGTGCCTCTGCATCATAAGCAACGACAACCCAAAGGCCAAACTTCAGAGCTGCAAATGCTGCCAGATTAATGAGCCAACGGACTTGATGCAGTTGTTGCTGCTCTTTCAGTGCCTGCATTGCGGGCAGCTTCGGCATCAACAAACAAACAAGAAGGCGGCCATGCCCGGTCATTCACAAAAGCTGCTGTGCCTCTGCGGCCATTGGGTGTTGCTGAGCCTGCTCATTTGTTTGTCCGCCCTGCCCCCCCCCCCCCAAAGCGTTCGGCAATCAAATCGACGAGGCACAGCGAATTGGAGCATCTCTGGATTCATCATCATCTGCTGCCTGTCGGCTTACGACTAATGTCATTCGCACAATGACTCGCGAACACAGGCCAGAAATACACTTCTGGCGAGGCCATGATTTGCTCCCGCAATTCCTGCACAGGCGCGCCATGTCCCAACAAATGCCCCATGTGCAGTTCGTGAGTCGCGCGGTTGAACAACACGAAGAGGCTCCAGAGCATGCCAAAATGTCAAGCACCGAGCCGACCAAAATCCAAGTGCCAAACGGGCTGGGTCTCCATTAAGTACTGCATCTGCGCCATCATCTCTCTGCCTTTGCAAATGTCAACTGGGCAAACCCACAAAACGAAGCTCAAGTAACCCGGAAAGCTGGTCAAGCTGCTGGTAGGTTGAGACTGCTCCAACTCTTGGATGGCCTCGTTCGAGCGGCGTTCTCAGAGTCTAAGAGCCTTCTTCCGTTTTTATTCAGCGCTCCGCGGGCCTCTTCCTGGCTGATCTTTTCGCACAGCAGGCGCCCATCTTTGGAGCTGTGGGTGAAGGCCTCTGTTTGAAATGAAGGAAACTACAGTCGACCACTTGGAGTCATGAGGGGTCCGAACCCACCCCCGGCCATCCGCCAGCCGGAGGTATGTCTGCTCGCCATCCTACGGTGTGGATCCATGCGTTCAGTGCAGTCCGGTGACAGGCAGCAGTCCCAAGCCTCCCTCACCTCGGACACCTGGAAGACCTCGACGGCAGAAACTGTGTTAGTTCGCTCGTGTCTGCACTGAGAGATCCAAACGACCACGCTGTCGCACCTGGTGGGGGAGCAGCTGCCTGCCTGTCCGGGTCGACTTAACGTCAGGCCTCACAACGTGCGACGAAGTGACGACTCGATGATAGAGCAGAGAACCGGCTTCGCAGAGCTCGGACCCCGGCTCCTCTCGAATACCGATGGAAGCACCCTTCGGGTCGGTGACCTCACCGTCCGGGCTGGAGACTTCAGAACCCCTCTCAGACGATTCGCTGGGTTGCAGGCGCGGTAAAACAGCACATCTGTCGAACTGGCCGAAGCCTCGGACGCTCCAAAGCAGAACTTATGATGTGCCCCGTGCTCTGCCCGCACCTCCTCCTCGCCATCATGGAACAAGTACCTAGGGCTTTGGGTGCAAATCCAAGGGACATGCGCACCCGCGAAGAAGCCAACGAAATATTCAGAACGAAGCGCTGGAACAAACGCAAACATATGCAACCAGAACGCAGGGCCGAACAGCACCCAAGCCCGAAATCCAGTGGTGCATAGCCCGTGGCAACAAGACCCTTCCAAACGCTTGAGAATCCAGGATCTCCACCTGCTAAGCAAGGTTGGCAACATGACGTGAAGCACACTTCGGGACGGATCGGCCACGTGCTGCCGGTGCACGGCAGAATTCATCGATTCGAGATCCTATTACCCTTGTACTGGTAGTGCCAAGCTGCCATAACAGTCCCGCAGCTGCTACAGTGCCGCCTGCGAGGAAGAGCGCCTCCGCTGAACCCCGGCTCAATCCACAACAGTCCGAAAAAAGAAAAAGCTTCGAGCCTTTCTCCAGCCAGAGTCGCTGTCCATCGTGCCGAGTACTATCCCCGGGCGCCTGTCAGCTTGCACATGCACCGTGCGTAACTGTGCATAACCGTGCGTAAGTAAGTGTGTGTGTGTGTGTGTGTGTGCTCTAAGCAGGTTGCAGACCGAGCCTGGCCTGCCGCTCAGGAGGTCACAACGCTACGAGCAGCCGAAAATGAGGTGCCCGAGAAGTCAAGGCAAGCGTGCAGAGAGCCAGAGAGCCCTATTATATTATACTATATTATACTATATTATACTATATTATATTATATTATATTATATTATATTATATTATATTATATTATATTATATTGTATTATATTATATTATATTATGATACTGCAAAGCAGCCCCTTTTCCCTCAGTTGAAACATAAATCCTTTTGCATGTTTGCCGCAACACGTCAGTTAAGCTACGACTAACGACCTCACAAGTTGTGAAGCCGCCAACTCCAAGAAAAGGCCGTTCGTGGCTTGGCCAGGCATAGCCTGCTCCAGGATCTATTCCATAAATCTTCTTCGTGCAACTTCGTTGCTGGATGTGACTTCCCCTAATGGGACGTTGGCCAGTCACTGCACAACTTTAGGCAAGGCTCCTCAGGGTGACTTGTGATGGCAGACTGGCACTGAGAAGGCATGCGACAGAATATGGACTTACCATCTGAGGAACGATCGCAGCTTGTCGGCTTTGCCGACGGGCTTGACCTTGTTGCAGACGGGCGACTAGCCGCTGCAGTGAGGAAAGCTTCGGAATCTGATGTACTCAGCTGCAGGCACACTTGCCTGACAAAGGTGACATCGTCTGTTGCTTGCAAGTCTGGCAGCGATCCGGGAGTGGAACCTTGCCATGGCATCGAGGACAGCAACCCCGAAAAGGATCGCGGTGTTCGCCTCAGGAGTTCGTGTAGCATGCGAAGATATCGGACCAGAGATTCGTGAAAAGGCGTGGGAAAGCTGAAAACTGCAGCAGCTGGCAGGAGCTCGTCCAAGGTGGGCTTCAGCAGCGGCTGCGGAAGGTGCTCCATTTTCTCCACCACCTCCACCTCTCAAGAACCAAATCCCCCCCAAAAAAAAAGAATCAGACTTTCGCGGAGCAGAATGACAGGAGCCTCCTCCTCCTCGGGAAGTTCCTGGGTTTGCTTTGGCTCCTCATGGATCTGCTGGGCCTCGGGGGCCCCCTTGCGGGCGTCCTGGCAAGCAATGGCACTGGCAGCTGCCCCCAAGTTCCCAAGTCAGTGCGGCCTGGGGCGGCTTCGGGGCGCCGATTGCAGGAAGGTGAGTCGGCACCTTGCCTGTCGCCTGCAGAAGCAAAGCCTAACAGCCTTCTGCCAAGCTTTGCTGCTTTGCTGGGGCCTTTGAGTACAGCACCCGGCGATCGGGCAACCTCACCTCGAAACGGGTTCCCTCCCCGCCCCCCTCCCCTCTCCGGCGTCTCTTCGTGGGCCTCCTGGCTTCGGACTTCCGCCTGCCTCGACAGAAGGCAAAGGAACGTTTGCGACTTGAGATGTGGTGCGGTGCGGCCTCACGAAGAACTGACGGCAGAAGTCTGGGCCCTCCAAACGAGGAATTGCTCCTTTTACCTTCCACCTGAGGCCAAACACGGGGCGGGACCGTGTGGCCACAGGAGGACCTTTTTTGGGACAGAGCCTCGGTGATGGCGGTGGCGGCGATGGGCTCGATGCCGCCTGCTCTCCGAGGGCTCCGAGAATTCCGAGGCTTCGGAGTGCTTGGCAGCGCACGTCTTCGGAAGGCAGGGCATGCTTCCTGCACCAGCACTGCAATCGTTGTCTCGATCACAAGACGGCCATGCCCCTGCACTGACTTGGGCAGGATGTCTCCTGCAAAGGTCCACAAGTTCCATCGGCTTTGCCACCTCAGCCACGGCAAGTGTGGAAGGCCACTCTTCTAGACACCAGCAAGGCAAGGTGCCGGTGAATGCCACTGCATCGCAGCTTCTTTGGCACGCTCCATATCTAACAACTTCCGCTGCATCTCCTTCACCTCATGGAGGCACTTCGCCAAGCCAGCACTTCAAAAACCCGGGCAAGTGATAGTCGGGACCCAAGGGGCGCTCTGGAAGCCTGCAACCATGCCTCCTCGTCTGGCAGCCTCAGAGCCTCCGTAACAGGGCAGTGCGGCGAAGAGCTTTTGGAACTCTGACTCATTTGCTGATGAGCGTCGCGGGCTGATGGGAGACAGAAGAAAGCCAGCAATGGCATTTCGGGCCTTCGCAGAAGGCAGGTTTTAGGATGTTTCACGCATGTGCTCTTAATTTCGACGACGAGATCATCTGGAGATACTCTTCGAGTCTTCGAGGCCTTCTTCACGGCCTCCGGGTCCTCTCGCCAGTCATCCAGGAAGGCAACCTTCTGGCAGAGCTTAGGCGCTACACTCTGTCGTTGTTAAGCATAAAAGGCTGTCGTCACTCACTCAAGCTTCGAGAAGTTATGAAGCCTCTTTCAAAGACAGCGTGCCCTCGGCTGTCACCTGGGCCGAGAACATGGGGCACGGCCACCTGACGCCTTCAAGCTGCAACAGAGCAGCATCCAGGGCCGAGAAGAGTCTCTTCGCATGGCCCTGCAAGTAGCCAGCTTCATGAGTCCTAGTTCATGGACAGGCTGTAGATCAGGGTCCGCGTCCTCGTAGCCATAGATCTTGCAAGCCGCCCGGAACTCCTGGCAAGACCATGTGCAGATAAAGGAGTCCGAAATTGTTTTGAAGACTGTGGTGACAAATCTTCTTGCGGGCTCTTAGCCTCCGCGCTGGTTCCTGAAGTCTGCAAACATTGGCATATGCAGCACATTTAGACTGCACAGCTGTCGTAAGAGTCATCGGGGGATCTTGGAAGCTGCAAGTACTAGAACATGCAGCATTTGGGCGCACTTGGATTCGCGTCTCATGAGGGGTTCTTGGAGGCTGCAGGTACTGGTACATGCTGGAGCTTTGCGTGGTCATTTCGACTAAGAATGTGGCACTGTCGCGACAATCATGGCAACAACTCTGAATAACATGGTCCTCGGAATTGCCCAAAGCTGAACGAGAAGACACCTATCGAGATCAGCACTTCTTAGAAGGCGCCGTTTTGACGCACAAGCTTAACTAAGCTGAAAAGAAAGCTGCACATCGCGGCTCAAAGGCATCAGGACAGAAGACCTCCCGAGCTGTAAGATTACAGTATCAGGGACAATCTGAAGTTGGACATGCTGGAGCAAGAAATAGCCCCCAGGTCCTGGAACGTCAAAGTATTGGATCCATCACGGTCGAAGACGGCAAAGGCACCCTTTGCCGAACCAAATTCGTCCAATGCCCAGGTCCTCCGAGGCTGGCATGCCAAAAACAACAAAATAGATCAAACGCACAAACAGACCGAAGGCAGCAGTTAGCAGCAGCGGAAGCGGTAGCAGCAGGCGTAGTAGTGGCACAGAAACTAGCACTAGTAAAAGCTGGTGCACTAGTAGCAGTACTGGTAGTATTGCATTGCAGCGATCCGAAAGCAAGACGAGAAGCTGGACAGATGCATTCCATCCGGCCGTTCTGTGACGGCTTCACCAGATTCGGTGATGCACAGAGCAAGCTAGCTGCAACGACATAATCCCACGTGTTGAGATTGAAACATTGGAAGGACTTCGTTGAATGGGAAAGGTGGGGAGGGCTGGGATGATAAGGTCATCCGACACGTACACTCCTGCAGCGTGCCTGACACTGGTAGTGGTAGTCGTAGTGGCGGTAGCCGTAGTAGTCGTAGTAGTCGTACAGTAGTCGTCGTCGTGGTAGTGGTGGTGGTAGTAGTAATAGTAGTACTAGTCGTAGTAGTAGTAGTAGTAGTAGTAGTAGTAGTGTAGTACTAGTAGTAGTACTAGTCAGTAGTACTAGTAGTAGTAGTAGTAGTAGTCGTCGTCGTCGTCGTCGTGGCAAAACAAGTA